AATTAGGGTCATAACGTAGCACTTGAAGTTCACAATAGTATTAAACGTTATACAACTTTTAATAAAGGTTACTATGTTAAAAATAAGGTAATATGTTAAAAATAAGGGTCACTATGTTCAATATAATGTCAGTTACGTGTGTATAAACCTTGGGTCTACAATAATATTATTGTGGACCAGGTCCACGCAAGTATTTCTAAGCGGTTGACTTCAAGTCAAGTTTGCCGTCAATGTGCACTTTTTATATCCACTCATTAACAAAAAAAAAAGTTGCTTCCTTTATCAAGTTGTGAAGGAGGGAATCTATGGTTCCTCCAATAATTAAGCTATGAACAGCGAACCTTCAATTTGATCAAATTGATTTTGCAGAAAGGCCACAATCATTCAAAAGGTAACGCTAATTTAGTCTATCTATTCTTTTTGGTGCAAATTTAGTCTATTTATTCATTAACATCTCTTTATTATTTAAATTTGTAAGCTCTATTCTACTCAAAGTAGTTACCTAAAGCGGTATATTCAATCTCCATTAGAGCAACTTCAATGACTAGCTAATTTGACAATTAGCTTACCATGCCACATAAGCTTTGAAGCTAATTATCATTTTAGCTACTTTTTGCTCCAATGACTATTTATAAGCTTAGTAGTAGTTGTTGGATAGAAAATACATGAAAAGAGCTTAATTGGTGCAATAAGCATTTTATTTTGGAAAGTTAAATTCTCAAGCAAATTAGTCAAGCTAATTGAGTTTTCTACCTCCAATAGTCAAGCTAATAGCTAGGGAATTATTAAAATTGCAAGCAAGTCCCTAGCTACAACCATTGGAGTTGCTCTACCTTTTTGTTGAACAGTTTAAGCTAGATACTTTAATTGATACTTTTTTTTTTTTTTTCTTAGAAAAATTTTATGATTTTCAATTACATTACAATTTTCTGAATTTCCAAATTATATTATTTTTTATTCCCATTTTTTTTTTTTGGGTGACTGACAGTAATTAAGCATTTAAGCTAGTGATATTTACGTAATGATTGAATATTTGTGGCAGATTATACAAAAATAAAATGTCAGAGACTCTGAAGCCAAACATGCTTACTCGCTTGAAACAGAAAATGACTCAAAAGGTACCACTCTTTTAAAGATTAAAGAAATTGAAGTTTGTTTGATTGAAAAATGAAAATAACATTTCAATAAAAAAATCCTATAAATTTTTGTTATTGTGGTGTGTGGTTGGTGCAGATCAAGGGCAAATACATGATTTTCAGAGGAAGTGAAGAAAATTATGTTAGGCATGGAGCATGGGTACTTGAAGAAAGCATTGACTTGTTTCATGGTAAGACGAATCCTGTTGGCCAGCTCTCAGTTGATGATCTCAACAACATGAATGTGGAACCACTTCCATATTATTATGGAGAGGGAGTACATAACTTGTGTTCTTGGACCAAAACAATGCTGCCAAATTAGGAGACTTCAGTTATTCTGTATTTATTCCTGAGGGTGAAGAATTTATTAAAGACTCAGCACTAAGAGGGACAAATATCAGCTATCTTGATAATGCATATCTGAGTACTCTGCGAATAGCTAAGAGTACGGATGTGTATTCGTTTGGTATGCTTCTTCTTGTACTCTTGACAGGAAAGAAGCCTTTTTCAAGTGAATATTCAAAAAATTTTGATGCAGATTCTTGGGTACAGAATCGCATAAAAAATAACCGTGTCAATGAGATTGTAGATCCTGCAATTACTAGAAACGGAGTGACAACTATTGAGGACATCCAGATGAGAGCATCTGCACATCTTGCAATCAGTTGCATCACATCAGAAGCAGACTATAGGCCAACAATGGTGGAGGTTGCAACAGAGCTTAAGAACATGATTACATCCCCTGAATTTATCCCTACCGCCACTAATTTTCAGGTATGTAATTATGACTTATATCACATGCTTGCTTTATCCTCGTTACAGTACTCCCTCTGTCACACAATACAATGCATATTTGGAAAATTTACGGGAATTATGTATAATGAAGATTCCTTGAACCCAATAATCTATATCTATCTATATATATTATTAATAAAGCACAATGGCGAGGCATGTAATCCCGCCACGTCCTGCCATTGCTTATATGGCATCATGTTGTACAACAATACACCAAAGCTGCTACTACCTTTAAAAAGAAGCAGTTTGCTTGACATGCATAATAATGGAGTTTGTTAATTTGGTTGTTTCAGGAAAATGGCCTATACCAGATATTCTATGGAAGTGAAGAATATTTCACACAAAATAGGGCATTGGTTCATAAAGAAAGCATTTCCTTTTTTAATGATAGTGTACACCCTATTCGCTACTTCTAAGTCCATGAGCTCAACAACATGAATGTGGAATTTGATCAGGTTTCCAGGTTCAGTTTCTGGTTGTTGTGTTACCGAGGTACTTGGGAGGGGAAAGCTGTTTTGGTAAGGCTGTCAGATCATTCATTTTATTATGGAGATAAGACCAGGATTTTCCGTGAAATTGTCGTTGCCACAAAGACGTTTACTCATAACAATGTTCATAAATTGCTAGGGTGTTGCCTTGAGACTAAACTTCCTGTACTTGTTTATGAGTGGGTGGCAGCCGAAACTCTAAATGATCGCATTTTATGTAAAGATGAGAACCACTGCAGACTACCACCCTTAGAGTGGAAGGATAGACTAAGGATTGCATGGGAGATATCGGATGTTGTTTCCTATCTTCACACAGCTTTTCCCAAGCCCATCATCCATGGATCTTTATACCCTGGTGGTTTTATTAAACCTCATAATATTTTTTTGTATCAAGACAACACTGTTAAATTGTCCAGCATCTTTTATTCTCTTCAGAAGGGCGAAGATGTGTATGCAGATGTGTATTCAGATGTGTATTCATTTGGCATGCTTTTTCTTGAGCTACTAGCAGGAAAGAAAGAAGAATTTTTGTCTACTAGCAGAGGAGAACAATATGAAGAGAGGACTGATTTAGTTGTCTGGATAACAGAAAAGATCAGGTTGGGGAACATTAGTGAGATTGTAGATCCTACAATCACTAAAAATGGAGTGGCGACCACTGAACTAAGTGCATCTATAGAACTTGCACTCAAATGCACAACCGGTATGTTAAACTCGCCAACCATGGTGGACATTGCAACTGAGCTCAACAACATCATTAGTTCTCATGATTCTATCCCTTGTACAAGTACTTTTCAGGTATGACTTTCAAGACTTCAGTTCTTTTATCCTGGTTTGGCATTCATGCATGACTTTGAGAAGTTTCGTAGTTGCTGACACAGTTGTTGATCATGTTGCTTTGTGTTTGATTAAGCCAACTTTCTTGAGTCTGTTAGGCAAGTTTTTATTAAATGGCCAAATAGAACTGTACATAGAATCTTCCATTTGGTATATTTTTTGTAGGATATGTTGATATTTCATTTATATTTTGTCTGAACCATGAGTCTCCTACAACAGTATTGTCTCGTTTGCCTCCACCTAAGGATCCTTGGTAATTCCCATTTCTATACTCATACAGGGGTAGCTTTTGCCTCTACTACATCCCAAATTTTCTTTGTTACTTCTGTATCTGTTTTTCATCACCTTCTTGCTGATATCTTATGGAGGCCTTCTTCCTTTTAATTATTTAGAAATTTTTTAACCTCATGACACTGAAAACAAGTGCATGTCTTGTACACTGTTAAATCTTTATGCACATCTCCATGAGCGGTTGATTTACCTTTATTCATGAAGCGCTTCATTTTTACAACTCACTAAACACGTGCTATTTAACAAACTTGGTATATGGTGTTTTCACTCTTTAATGATACATTTTTGCCTTGTTGATAGTTCCATTACATAAGTGCAAGTTATTGTAGAATACAAAAAGGTCATTAAGCTTTAAGGATACAAAGGTTAGTAATAAGGAATTAAGGATAATGACTTAAATAATATAAATGGATGGTAACACTATTTAAGGGCAATAGCCCCAAACTGAAAGAGTCATAAACTATTTTTCACACAGTATCTTTTATTTATGTTTCTATTTGAATTTGAACTCGGAATGACAACCTTTATCTTATTTGCTTTCATTAGTTGAGCGTGAAAGACAATTGACAACCATTATGTTGCACACACTGACTCGTACAAAACAAAATGTATGTCTTGAGTGCATCACTAGAAGTGTGGCTCCATGACAAGAAAATAAAGGAATAATGACAAGATAAACAACAAGTTAGAGAATGGGATATAATGGCTTGACATTAAAACTGTGTAGCTAAATAAATTGGTTATTGGACTCGAATTTTATTATTTCATTAGTGGTTGCAGGGAGAAGGCATGTACATGATTTTTCGAGGATGCAAAGAATATCACATTCAAAATGAATCATTTATAGTTGAAGAGAGCAATTCCTTGTTTCCAGGTAAAATGAAACCTATCCGTTACTTTTCAGTCGATGAGCTTTGCAAAATGAAAGTGGAATATCATAGAATTTTCCGGAGACTTCACTGGAGTGAAAATAGCAACTGGTATCGAGGTTCTTGGGAAGGAAATGTTGTCTTGGTAAAGCTCCCAAAAAGAGTTGCTTCTGATGAGGCACGAATGCGTTTTCTGCGTGAAATTTTGGTTGCTACACAGATGGCAAGTCATAGTAATGTTCAAAAACTAATTGGATGTTGCCTTGAGACCGAATATCCTGTTCTTGTTTATGAGTCAGTGGCAGGGGAAACACTTAAGGATCGGATACGAACCGAACCAGTACTAGAGTGGAAAGAAAGGCTAAGGATTGCATGGGATATATCTAAAGTAGTTTCACATCTTCACAATGCTTTTTCAAGACCGATCATTCACGGGTACTTGAAAACGGATAAGATTTTCTTGGGACTGGAGAACACTGTCAAATTGTCCAACTTTAGTCGCTGTATACAGTGGCGGACCCAGGAATTTCCGACTGGTGAGTCACAATCGATAATCAAATATGTAAAAAAAAAATTTCACAATGACATGTAAGGAGACATTTACTTCCTAAACTTGAAAATAAACAACACGATTGGAGACCAAATTAACTACAACGGATGTAGCCTAAATACATATCAGTCCGCAACATGTTTTACAGGATGATCAATAATTTTAAAGCAATGCCTCAAGGCGTAAAAGCAATCCTTTTTTTTGGCACTTCAATATGATTCAAGCATATGATCAGGAATAAACACGAATAACAATTGATTCACAATACAAGTATACAATATTCCCAGCATGAAATAGACTCAAGAATTACAGAAATTGCCCAAATTAAAACCAAAATTACAGAGACTCACCCATATTCAGGCAAATTAACAATATACCAACTCTTGTTGATCAGAAAATGATTGATAAGCTGAGTCTTCCCTGCATATAAATTCAACAACCTAATCAAACACAAAGTTAACAAAACAAATGAAATCACAAGTATGAATCATATGCAAATAACCCCAACAACGAATTACCCCTATTCATAATTGGTTGGACGGTTCATATTCAACTAAATCAAGCAATATTCAACTAAATCAAGCAATATTCCCCAGAAAAATTATTTACAAAGATCATCCAAATAGAAAATTGACAAGATTACAATACTAACTAATAATTAACAAGCTTAAAATTGACAAGACTAAAATCAACAAACTAATATCTCCAATAGTCTATACGGAACTTCCAGTCGAATATGCGACTAGCACCACTAAGCACTAACCAGTCCACACTGTAATCTAATTATAAATTTATAATCCTCCTTACACTAATAGTTTAATTGCTGTCTTATACAATGTCCAGCATCACATATTCATAATTTCACATAATGACATAAACAGATAAACTAATAAGTTCAATTTAACAGTCAAAACACAATTTACACAAATAATGCAAATTCAATGAACATTCACCATATATACTAATTTTAAGAGACAAGTAATGCAAATTTGATCAAAAATTCACAAAAAAAAAAAAAGAATCAATTGATGATTACCTACCTTGCTAGGCGGAGGCGGCAGGCGCTGAATGATTGAGGCGGCAGCGGAGCAGGCGGAGCAGCACTGCAGCAGGGCCATGCCCAACACTCAGCAAGACAACAAGTCAGCGACTAGGCACTGGAGCAGGCGACTAGGCGAGCAGCAGAGGACAGAGCATAGCTGCACAGAGCACTGGAGGCTGGAGCAGGCGACTAGGCGAGCAGCAGCCAGCAGCACAGTCAGCACTGGAGGCGTGAGCAAACTAGCGAAGAGCAGTAGATTATGAACAATTAGTCAATTAGGGATTGAGTTGATAACTAACATTTTACATTTCACAAATTCACAATTAGGGATTTAGGGTTCAAACATTTCACAAATTCACAATTCAGATAATGCAAAATTATCTGAAATTGAGTTGATTATTGAACAATTAGGGATTTAGGGTTCAAATTTAGTATTACTAAATCATAATTCATAACTAACAACTAACAAGTAATATCAACAAATAAATAAATAAATAAATAAATAAAAAAGCCGAAAGATGAGTAGATGACTAACCTGAAATTATGCGAAGAGGAAGATGAAGCGAACTAGCGAAGAGGAACTGAGGTCTGAGGAAGAGGCGAAGAGGAAGATGCGAACTTGCGAAGAGGAAGAGGCGAACTGGCGAAGTGGGCTAGGGCTAACTCAGAAGTTAGAATTTATTTATTTTTTTTTAAAAAAAAAACTTAAAAATTTTTTTGGGCCCTGGTGAGTCACTTGACCCACCAGGCACAAGCCCAGGTCCGCCACTGGCTGTATATCTATTCCTGAGGGACAAAACTTTGGGGAAGACTTTGGAAGAAGTAGCATTTATATGGAACCTCGAAGAGTGGCACAATGTACAGATGTGTATTCATTTGGTATCCTTTTTCAAGAGCTCTTGACAGGGAAGTCTGTTGATTTGGTATATGAAGAATTCGAAAGGATTCCCTCAAGTAACATTGTAGTAGATCCTGCAATCGCTAAAAATGGTGTAGTCACCGCTGAAATGACTGCTTCTATAAAGCTTGCCCTCAAGTGCAGAACAAAAGTAGACAGAAGGCCAACCATGGTGCAAGTTGCAACTGAACTTGAGAAAATCATCGGATCATCTGACCTTCCAAACAACGGTTTCTCTCTACTACGGGGCTGTCTTACTTCTTAATTGATCTACTCTGATTTCCTCATGCTTTATGTTTGTGTAATTGACTATATGTGTTTTCAATACTTTTTTTTGGCAACAATTGTGTAATTGACTAATTGTGTTTTCAATACTTTAAGTTGCATTTAAAAGTGGTTGAAAAAATATAAGTATATGTTTATCTAAGACAAAAGTGCCTTAAAGTTGTATAATTTGTTCAACTATTTTCGTTACTTGTGATATTTAGCATGCAGTATATTATCTTTTTTTCTTCTAGTACAGCTGTAATTCTTAATACTCCTTTTTTAATTAATCAATTTGTAATGCCATTAATTCAGCTGATGCAGGATCTTTCATTTCATAGTTCATACACTCTTATATCATGATTTAATTAGGTTACTCTCTTTGTTTGATCATTCTGTTTCAGGTATACCTGATGTTTGATTGACAATTTGACATTCAATGTTTATCACCTATACCAGCTTTTAATTTAAGGAAAATTTGTCAAAAATAACACCACCTTTGGCCGGTCTTCCCGTAATAGCACCACCTTTTGATTATTCCAGAATAACACCACCTTTCACATGTATTTGCCAAAAATGAAACAAAACCGGTTGATAACCTATTTTACAGGTTACCTGTGACACATGTCACAATGTCATTGGTCAATTTTTTTATATAATTTTTTTTAAAAAAAAACCTAATTAATTAAATAACAAAGTTAAAATAATAAAAAAAAAAAAAAAAACAAAACCACCACCTAGCCCCCGCTGCCCAGCCCCCACCCCCTACCCACCCTCGTCGCCGCCCTTCCCCTTCCCCATCCTTGCCGCCGCCCTTCCCCCTCCCCATCCTCGCCGCCGATCGACCTCCCCGGCCTTCCCCCTCCCTCCACCCATTCCCCGTCCTTAAACAACCCACCACCGCTTTCCCGTCATCGTTTCTAGCCCCCTTCCCTTCCCAATTTTCGATGCCCCTACCCATCCCTTCTCCATTTTTGATACCCCCTCCTTTTCCCTTCCCAATTTTCGGCCCCTACCACCTATCTCCTTCCTCGAAACCATAAACAGTCGAAAATGTTGGTTTTGTAAAGGGGAAGGGCTCGAAATTGGGGACGATGAAGGGAGGGGGGATTGAATCTGCTACGGGGAGGAGAGGTGGGGGCTGAAATCACGAACGGGGAAGGGAGGAGCTCGAAATCGGAAACGGGGAAGGTGGATGGGGCTGGTGGGGGTGGTGGATGTCGGTGGGCAGAGGGCTGGGAATGTGGGAAGGGATTTAAATTTATTTTTTTTAATTTTTTTGTTTTTTTTAAAGTTTTTTCAAAATTAAAAATAAAAATAAATAAGTTAACCAATCAAACTAGAACACGTGTCCCAGGGTTACCTGTAAAATAGGTTACCGGTTTTTTGTTTCATTTTTGGCAAATACATGTGAAAGGTGGTGTTATTCTGGAATAATCAAAAGGTGGTGCTATTACGGGAAGACCGGCCAAAGGTGGTGTTATTTTTGACAAATTTTCCTTAATTTAATCATCCCGTCAAAAAAAAAGCGTCAAAGGTGGTGCTATTACGGGAATAATCAAAATTGGTTTACGACGGAATTCCGTCGTAAATGGTTGTCGGAAAACCCTTTGTAGGAAAATGGCCATTTTACGACGGAAATTCCGTCGTAAACCAACTTTACGACGGAAATAAAAGCGTCGGACTTGGAATTGGCCTTTCATGAAGATCCGTCGCAAACTTCCGACGGAAAAAATTCCGTCGCAAACCTTAAATTACGACGGAATTTTCCGTCGTAAATAATAAATTGCTCGCAAAATATTATTTACGACGGAAAATTCCGTCGCAAGTTTTTATTTACGACGGATTATTTCGTCGTAATTTACATATTTGCGACGGAAAATTCCGTCGTAAATAATTTTTTGCGACAGAAAATTCCGTCGCAATTTATATTTTGCGACAGAAAATTCCGTCGCAAATTATTATTTACGACGGAATATTCCGTCGCAAATATGTAAATTACGACGAAATATTCCGTCGCAAATTATATTTCCAGCCCAAAACTAATTTTGGTAATTTTCTGCATTTTCAAACCTGAATTTTTTTAATGATAAATCGACAAATAATATAATAATTATGTTTTAAAACTAAATATTGAGTCCTAAAATTGTTGTTTTAAAAAAATTAATTATCGACTTATGAAATTAGGGTTATGGTTATGTACATATATATATAATAATTATGTCCTAGTACAAAAGATAGTCCACATTTTGGTATCTATACCAAACAAAAGCTAGGTTAGAGTGATTCTATGCTAGACTAAAGCTAAGCTACGCAATCGCCTGGAAACCCTGGCCTGCTCCACCACCACCCGGGTCGTTCCTAGGGTCTCGATGCTGAGGATGAATGGTGGAACATGAGTCGTTGTTGTTGAGACGACTCATCATCTCATCGAAACTCTCCTTGTATCTCCTCTCCATTTCAGCCATTTGGGCTTCCATTTGAGTTTGGAGAGTTTGCACCCTGTGTTCCATCTGGTCTTGCATTTGAGAAATGACAGACGGCGTGTATTGCTGTGAAGAACGGGAACCTCGACCCTGTTTGCCATAGTAGAGCTCTGCACTTTGGCCAAGTCCCTTCACACGCCCCTTCTTATTGCGCCCACCCACCGACTCCCAGTACAACTCATTGGGACTCTTCTGAATCCCCTGACTCCTTGTTTCTTCGAGCTTCTTCTGGTAGGTGTCCTACAAAATATTGAAGATAAAAAAAATATTGTTAAAAAAAAACCAACAATATGGAGTTATATCGCATAATTTTAGGTGCCTAAGGATGGAAATTAAGAAAATTAAGCACATAAGTCAATTTTCAACCCTCACTCATCCAAAATCATCCAAATTTGGCCTATATGGCTAAAACCATGCCTATTTTCTAAGTTTTCAAGAAAATGGACTCGTTCTTTCTTCTAACATTCCAATATCAATTGCTTTTAAGTGCCTAAGGATAGAAATTAAGAGAAATAAGCACATATATCAATTTTCAACCCTCACTCCTCCAAAATCATCCAAATTTGGCCTATATGGCTAAAACCATGCCTATTTTCTAAGTTTTCAAGCAAATGGACTCGTTCTTTCTTCTAAAATTCCAATATCAATTGCTTTTAAGTGCCTAAGGATAGAAATTAAGAGAAATAAGCACATATGTCAATTTTCAACCCTCACTCCTCCAAAATTATCCAAATTTGGCCTATATGGCTAAAACCATGCCTATTTTCTAAGTTTTCAAGAAAATGGACTCGTTCTTTCTTCTAACATTCCAATATCAATTTCTTTTAAGTGCCTAAGGATAGAAATTAAGACAAGTAAGCACATATGTCAATTTTCAACCCTCACTCCTCCAAAATCATCCAAATTTGGCCTATATGGCTAAAACCATGCCTATTTTCTAAGTTTTCAAGCAAATGGACTCGTTCTTTCTTCTAACATTCCAATATCAATTGCTTTTAAGTGCATAAGGATAGAAATTAAGACAAGTAAGCACATATGTCAATTTTCAACCCTCACTCCTCCAAAATCATCCAAATTTGGCCTATATGGCTAAAACCATGCCTATTTTCTAAGTTTTCAAGCAAATGGACTCGTTCTTTCTTATAAAATTCCAATATCAATTGCTTTTAAGTGCCTAAGGATAGAAATTAATAGAAATAAGCACATATGTCAATTTTCAACCCTCACTCCTCCAAAATCATCCAAATTTGGCCTATATGGCTAAAACCATGCCTATTTTCTAAGTTTTCAAGAAAATGGACTCGTTCTTTCTTCTAAAATTCCAATATAAATTGCTTTTAAGTGCCTAAGGATAGAAATTAAGACAAGTAATCACATATGTCAATTTTCAACCCTCACTCCTCCAAAATCATCCAAATTTGGCCTATATGGCTAAAACCATGCCTATTTTCTAAGTTTTCAAGCAAATGGACTCGTTTTCTTCTAACATTCCAATATCACATACTTTTAAGTGCCTAAGGATAGAAATTAAGAGAAATAAGCACATATTTCAATGTTCGACCCTAACTCATCGAAAATTATCAAAATTTGGCCTATATGGCTAAAACCATGCCTATTTTCTAAGTTTTCAAGCAAATGGACTCGTTCTTTCTTATAACATTCCAATATCACATACTTTTAAGTGCCTAAGGATAGAAATTAAGAGAAATAAGCACATATGTCAATGTTCGACCCTAACTCATCCAAATTCATCCAAAATAAGCATATATTGAGTTCTACTTTGCTAATTTGCCATATTTCAACTCATATAATAAGTGTTTACCGCTATCCTTTTTGCTTTGTTATTGGCAGCAACTTGGCCTTTACCAGGCACTTCCTTGAAGTGTGTCTTCAAGAAAAGATCATGGGCATTTGGTAATTAGCCTTGGTTTTTTGCAGCCTTTATATGTACATGCAGAAAATCAATGGAAACATGTTAGCCCACCAAAATTCATTAATAGACAAATGAAATAATTGTTACTGGACATATTGTAGGAACCTTACCATCTTTTTAGAATGTTGTACAGATGACATTGAACCTTGAAAGTGGGTCGGTTCAACGACATTTTCCATGGATCCGCCTCTTCGGTTCTTCTTGTTTTGTTCCGACCGCTTCTTATATTTTGGATCGGTGGCAACAATTCTCATCATGCCTTCGTGGACATCCTTATTAAGCCATCTTGGTTTGCGACCATTCAGCCTATGTGTGATGTTGTAGAACGTGTCACGTAGGCGATTTGCAAACTTTTCTTCGAAAGTGTCCTTCACTTGGTTGTTTAACTCAGGTGCCCACTTGAATTTTTTCTGCAAATCAAGAAAATGTCTTTATTACAAAATTCAACTCCGTCAATATAATTTATAAAACATGTATTATGTTAGGTTAAAGTTATCATACGTTGAACAAGTTCCAAAAGTGCTCTCTCGAATCTTCATCAACCTCTCCATAATTCCTCCAAGGCTGAACATAGTAGTCGGTTAGTGAGTCGGAGAGCACATTCTTCACGGGGATATCATCAAACCTATAATAAAGGATAGACATTCATGTAAGTATATAATCAACAAAAAGTGAACAAAACATGGTTATAGTAATACAAATTCACTTTATCAAAGTAAATACGAATTTAAGGATATTTCATTATACAAATACATACGCACCAAAGTGTGGAAGGGTCCAACTCTAGCAAGTCATTAGGATGCGGGTCCTGTAGCTCCTATTCCTGATGCTGTTGTTGCTCCTGTTGCCCTTGTACATTTCTGACGATTTCTTGAGAGGCCCCCAAATCATGTGCCTTCTCTTCCTCCATTGACTCATCCTCATCAACACGTACAACCGAAGATTTCCCCTTAGACTTTCTCCTCTTGGACGTTTCTCCTTTATTTCCTCCTCCCATGATGACAGCCCACCATTGAACCCGATCACGTTTAAGGCTAGGGTAAGATGCATAATACACTTGAGACACTTGGTAAGATAAGACAAATGGATCATACTTGGGATACTTCTTAGTATCATTTACTTCGACAAGCTTGTATTGTTCATGAATGTTCATTCCTTTACCACAATCCATCCAACTACAACTAAACAAAATAGTCTTGTACTCTTTTTCGGGACCGGTGTAGACAAGTTCAATTATGTTGTTTAAAATGCCAAAGTACTCTCCACCGTTCTCACTTGAGACACACATCCCGTAATTCATCGTAGATTTGTGTTTGTCATAGGACTGTGTGTGGAAATTAAAGCCACCGAAAAATATCTGGTTCCAAGTTCGAACACGCTTGAAAGGCCTCATAGACAATGCTCGCAACACATCGGAACTTGGTTTTTGTTCTCTCACCTATAACCGTTACGAATACAAGCGTCACACTAATTGAAATGAAATATATTATATTATCACAAATTAATCGAGATGCAATGTTCGAAAAGTATTATCACCTTGTGATGAAACCAATCAGGGAATTCACTTTCGCATTTCTCCATGACATCTTCTCGACGCAAATAAGTTCGAGTACTAAGAATGTAGTCCTCAAACTGCCTAATAGATTAATGACACATGGTTAATCATTGCAGCAATTATATTAAATTTAAGGGATTTTCAAAAGTTTATCGTAAACCTATATACCTTTCGTATTCACCAAGAATGCCGGTATTTCTTAAAACGAACAAATGAGCACGTTCGAGTTCCTTGTCATCTAAATACCGAGTTTTACCCAAATTTGACACACGACCCTTATCCACCGTGAACAGCTCTGGGATTTCATCGTTGTCAGCCGGGGATTCCACATCAGCATTCACATTTCGACCTAGATCTCGTGTTTTTGTGTCAACTGAGGGCTGAAAGTAATTGGAGCAGAAGTTTGATATCTCTTCAGTGAGATAAGCGTTGCATATGGAACCTTCAACACGAGCCTTATTACCAATTTTTCGTTTCAGGTGATTGAGGAACCTGTAATTATGTTTATGTAGCCGTAGAAGTATAAGTAACGGAAATCAATGAAAGAGATGAAAGTAAGAGTTGAGAAAGGACCTTTGATTTACCTTTCGAAAGGATACATCCATCGATATTGAACAGGTCCACATAACTTGCCCTCATATGGCAAATGAATTGGTAAATGCTCCATGGAGTTGAAGAAAGATGGGGGGGGGAAACCTTCTCAAGCTTGCACAGGATCTCAGCTATTTTTTTTTTCCAATCACTCCATGTCGCTAACTGTAATTGTGTAGCAACATAAATCGCGAAATAATTGGCTTATCTCTGTAATTGCATTCCATATATGGGTAGGGAGCAATTCTCTCAAAGCAGTGGGCAACAACCTCTCCATGAACACGTGACAATCATGACTTTTCCTTCCATGTAACTTACCTGATTGCAAATCAACGCATCGACTCAAATTGGAAGCGTAACCATCAGGAAACCGCAGCTGTTTGACCCACTCACACAAAACCTTTCTCTGAGCCTTGTCAAGAGCAAATGGAGCCTTTGGCATGAATTCTTTTCCTCTATCATCCTCTTGAAGATGTAGCTGGGGCCATTTACAGTATTTAGCAATGTCATTCCGAGCTGATGGGGTGTCACAAGATTGCTTTTTCACGTCCATTATAGTGTGAATCAACTGATCAAAAAAGTTTTTTTCAACGTGCATGACATCTAAGTTGTGACGAACAAGCAGATGTTTCCAATATGGAAGGTCCCATAGAGTGCTTTGCTTGAACCACCCTTTTTTTGCATTCTTGAGACGTTTCAGTGCCTCGGGGCCATCTGTTGCTTTCGGGAGATTTTTCACACATTCCCAAAGTTCCTCTCCTGACATGATGTGAGGTGGTGAACCTTTTTCGACTTTGTTTTTACAAAAAGCATTTTTACTATTTCAAAAAGGATGATTTGTCGGAAGGAATTGACGATGGTAGTCAAACCAAGAAACCTTACCACCATTTTCGAGCCAAAATGCTTTGCTTTTCTCCATGCAATATGGACAAGCCTTCTTACCGGCTGTGGTCCAACCAGATAACATACCATAAGCTGGGAAGTCACTAACGGTCCATAGGATGGTTGCTCGAAGATTGAAATTTTTTTTTCTCGAAATATCGTAAGTATTTGCCCCAACTTCCCACAACTGTTTCAACTCGTGTATGAGCGGCTGCATGTAAACATCCAAGTTTCCCTTAGGGTTTTTAGGACCAGGAATGAGTAACGAAAGAAACATGAACTGTCTTTTCATACACATTGACGGAGGCAAGTTATAAGGGGTCAAAATGACAGGCCAACATGAATACTGTCCCCCAAACTGACCATGTGGAGCAAATCCATCCGTACATAGGCCAAGTCGAACATTACGAGGTTAAGAGGCAAACTCAGGAAAGCAACTATCTAGGTGTTTCCACGCTTCACTATCGCTAGGGTGTGCCATTGTGCCTTGAACTCGAGGATTTTTAGCATGCCATGTCATTTCCTCAGAAATGTTTTTAGTTGCAAAAAGCCTTTGCAACCTAGGTGTGATAGGGAAATAAAATAGAACATTCAAAGGCACTAAGCTGCCTTTAGAAGTCTTCTTGTATCGGTCGCTGCCACACACCCTACATGTAGATAATTGAGCATCATCTTTCCAAAACAACATACATCCTTTCGGGCTTGCATGAATCTTTTCATGGGGCAGCTCTAACCCCTTAACAATTTTCTTGACCTCATAGAATGTCTCGGCCATGTGGTTGTTGTTAGGAATCGCTTCATTAACCAAAGAAGCAAATCCATCAACACATCTATGCGGCAAATTATACTCACACTTTAGGCTAGTGATTCTAGAAGCCATCTCTAACACAGACAATGAACTCCCTTCGTACAACGGTTGTTCAGAAGCCCTTAACAAATCAAAAAATGGCTTGGCTTGTGCATTAGGCTCCTCCTCTAATGAAACAGGTGGCTCTTCGGAATGGCCTTGATCTTGAGACTGACCAAAGGCATCCAAAACCATTTCACGATATTCATTTGACTCCCTTCTACGAGTTCCTGGAAACCCTTCCCCATGACACATCCACTCGTAGTAATTAGGTAAAAAACCGTTGCGATACAAATGAAGTTTGACCGTATCTGGATTCCAGAGACGTTTGTTTTTGCATTTAAAACATGGACACCTAACTTCATTCGGGTTGCTACTCTCGGGATGATCTTCCACATATTTAAGGAATTCATCTACCCCCTTCAAGAACTCAAGATTAATAGAATTCCCAACCTTCCTTTCGTACATCCATCTACGTTCTTTTCGTTTCATATTACAAGTTCTACACAACTAACACATATGCCATTAATCATATTAGTCATAAAGCACAATATATATTCATTGTAGATCAAACTGTTATGGAAATGCAAATGAGAAGAGAAATGATTTTCAAGGGTCGTTATCACTCCAACCTAACCCATCGTTGTACGTTCAGTCTCACTAGTGAATGTATGTCAGAATTTCAATTCTACGGAAAATCCGGCAGCATCTCCCTACAGTTCCCCGAGTACACAATATAGGCGATTAGAAACACCTATATATGTACCTAGAGAACATTGTAGAGAAATGACAAGCAAGGATCTTCCTTAGAATTAAAACAAAGGAATACATTCACCACCTAAGTGAGAATAAACGTACAAGGACAGTCCCAACCGGGGACTATTCAAGACATACTCCTAATGTGTATGCCTTGAACGGGTATCTAGGCATATGATTATGCAAATGATTTTTTTAAAAAATATATATACTTAACTAACATACATATTATTAAACAAATATATCAAGATTAAACTAAACAAGAGAAACAAATCAAACCAAACCAAAGTAAACTAATATATCATATTAAACTAAACCAAACCAAACTACCGTTTTATATATTAAATTAAACTAACATATTTCTAAAAAAACTAAACTAAATTAAGATACTTTATATTAAAATAAATTAAACTACAACACATTATATTAACATAATATTAACTAAATTACATTATGTTAAACTAAACTACATTATGTTAAACTAAACTAAACCAAACTAACATTGTTTATTTTAAAGATCAAGGGAGCAATTAATTAATTATAAGATTTATTTAAAAATATATATACTTAACTAACATACATAATATTAAACAAATATATCAAGATTAAACTAAACAAGAGAAACATATCATAACACCATACTATTAATATAAACCAAATCAAACCAAACCAAAGTAAACTAATATATTATATTAAACTAAACCAAACCAAACTACCGTTTTATATATTAAATTAAACTAACACATTTCTAAAAAAAACTAAACTACAATAAGGTACTTTATATTAAAATAAATTAAACTAAAACACATTATATTAACATAAACTTAACTAAACTACATTATGTTAAACTAAACTAAACCAAACTAACATTATATTGTTTTTTTTAAAGAGAAGGGAGCAATTAATTACTTATAAGAGATCACCAATGTCACTAAATTAACCAAACTAAAAGTTATTGAATATCTAACAACCAAAGTAAGATACACATATACATTATATTAGGGTTTGTAATGTACCTAACCTTTAGATCTGCACTTCTTTTTAACAATTAAACCAACAAAATTGTACAAATCCTACAACAAAATTTAAAAAAAAATAATAATAATTAAGGGTTTATAAGTAAACAAAATTAAATTGAAAAAAAAGGGGGAAAGCAAAGGCAACTTACTGTCAGGCAGAGGTGGGGCGTCTCCGGAAACAACCAAGGGCCGGTGGGTTCAGTCACGGCTAGGGGACGGAGGTGCGGCTGCGTTGTGGGTTCAGCAAATTTTACCATGTTATTCCGGTAGTTTTTTTGCAAAAAAAATAAAAATAAATTAATTGACAATTGCACACACTTACCTAGACGCGGCGGCTCGCCGGAAACCACCAGGGCTCGAAAGCTCGCCGGAAACCTTCCTCCTTATCTTTCTCTTTCCCGTTCTCTTTCTCCTCTCTCTTTCTTTCCCGTTCTTTTTCTCCTCTCTATTTCCCGTTCTCTTTCTCGGCGGCTGATGTGCAAGCGTCGCCGGCGTAAAGAAATCACCACCGCCGCCGCGACTTTCTCCTCTCTCCTTCTCTTTCTCTCTCTCCTCGCGCTGCTTCACTTCTCTCTCTGATTTTCAATTATTTCCCCCTTTTTTTAGGGCAAGGTCGCAATTTCAATTTTGAAAAAATGACAGTAGAATTTACGACGGAATTTATTTCCGTCGTAATTTAAAACTTACGACGGAATATTCCGTCGCAAGTTTTAAATTACGACGGAAATAAATTCCGTCGTAAATTTTACGAGGGAAAAAGCGTCGTAATCGAAATTTCCGTCACTAAATTGCGACGAAATATTTTCCGTCGAAAATATCCACCTTTACGACGGAAAATCATATCCGTCGTAAGCATTCCGTCGCAATTTAGCCTATTTCTAGTAGTGTAGATTAAAAATATATCTTAAAATTCAATAAACAACTCGGGCATCGCACGGGCACAAAACTAATGAAATATAAATTGGATGTTTTCTTCAGATGACTTGGGATTTAATCTGTTTGAGCTGATACAGGAAGTAGATATCTTATAATCCGAAGTCAATCATAATTTTCCCAACAATGACTTGGTTGAAAGGGTACGATTTTTCATTTTCATTTATGTCTTGGATGTCCTTTAACGTGTGGATGTATCTAAATACTTCATTTTATATATATATATATATATATATATATATATATATATATATATATATATATATATATATATATATAGGGGAGGGATCCGGTGAGAATAGGTCCATATGTGAGTATTCATACTTATATGAGAACTGATTTAAAATTTAGAACATGTGAGTAAAAATTTAGAACATGCGACTTAAAAATTTAGAACATGTGACTCAAATTAAAATTCTGAACATATGAGTAATAAATTAGAACATTTGTGTGAGTAATATGTTTAGAACATCTGACTTAAGATTATGAACATGTGAATAAAAATTTAGAACAAACTGATATAGAATATAGAAAGTGTGAGTAAAGAATTTAGAACATACGTGTAAAAAAAAATAGAACATACGCTTTAAAATCTGGAACTTATAATTAAAAATCTTAGAACACACGTTTTAAAATTTAGAACATATAAGTTAAAATTTTGGAACAAGTTATTTAAAATTTATGACATCAAACTTAACTAATTTATGGTTTAGAACATGTGAGTACTAAATTAGAACATTTGATTTAATTTAGAACACCTAAGGAAAAGTTTAGAACATCAGATTTAAAATTTAGAACATACGAGTAAAAATTTAGAACATAAAAAGTGTTCTCATATATGTAAAATTCTCACATAAGAAAAATTCTCACAAGAGCCTTCTCCTATATATATATATATATATATATATATATATATATATATATATATATATATATATATATATATATATATATATATATATATATATATATATATATATATTCAGTTGATTTGTTAAGTAGTGTAAAGATTTAGTCTGATCATTTACTCTATCATGGTCTCTTGTTATGTATTTTGCCTAGAGCTGTTAAAAGCTGACCCGACTCGAAATACCGACCCTAACCCGACCTATTAACTGACCCGTCTGAACCCGAAAAAAATGGTGACCCGAACCCGACCTAACCCGACCTGAAACCAACCCAAAACCCGAGTTGATCCGAGTATTTGAGACCCGAACCCAAACATTAACCGACCTAAAGATGACCCGACCCGAATGTAACCCATAAATTATTGACCTGAACCGAACCTGACCTGAACCGAAATTGACCCAAACCCGTTTTAACCCGTCAAAACCCGAATTCAACCCGATTTGTTCCTAACCCGACCCGAATTCAACCCGACTTGTTTCTAACTCGACTCGAATTTAACCCGACCTGTTACAAACCCGACCTATTACAAAACCGACCCGAATCAACCCGACTTGTTATTGACCCGACCCAAATTCAACCCGACTTATTATTGAATCAATATGTAGAGGTCGTTATCTCATATTGGTATTGGAACGGAAATTGAATCCTAACTCTACTCCTTCAATATTTCACTTTGAATTTTAAGAGGTTAGTTTCACATCATGTTTTTAGGGACGAATTTCAGGGATATAACATGTTTTCCGCAAATCATTAACATCTTTTATCATTCCTTTTTGTCATCCCTTATTCCCTTGCTATATTTGTCTTTTGTATCTCACAACTACTACTTTGACATGGACTTGGAGTTGTGATGCAAAAATGGTTGACTCCAAGTCAAACGTACCATCTTTTTTTAGACTTTTTGCTTGCATTGTGCTGTAAGTGTCTTACTGTCTTCTTGAAATTTTGAGATGTATTTTCATTACCTATTTTCACTTTGAATATCTTCACTTATTATTATGGAAAAATTGCTCCCATTAATCTGAACTTTGTCTCGTCCGTCCAAATTAATTCCAACTTTGGATTATTATCTATCACTCCCAACTTTAGGGGGTATTAATTTCTATTGCACTCAACTTACCTGAAACCGGTTAATCCGGTCAATATTTGTGTGTTAGATTTTTTTTGGACATGTGTCACTACATGAATGGTCAAAAAAAAAAATTAAAAACAAAAAAAATCCCTAGCCAACCAAAGGCAGCCACTGTTAATGGCAGCGGGATTGGGGGAGGATAAAGGAAAAGAGGCCGGATTTGGGTTGGAAACGAAGGGGAAGGGGGCGGAAACGACGGGGAGGGGTCGGAAAACGGCGGGGGAGAGGGGAGTGACGAAGGAAACAGGGGTGGGGGAGGGGTTTTCGGGGGTGGGGAAAGGGAAAGGCCGGGTGGGTTTCGAGGTAGAAGGATGGGCGGCGGTTTCCGATAGCAGGGGAGAGATTTTTCGGGGGTGGGGGTGATTTTCCGATGGGGTGGGGGTGGGGTGGCAGTCGTTGGGCATGAGTGGTTTGTGGGGTTTTTTTTAAAAAAAAAAATAAATAAACTCAATCATAAACTGACACTGACACGTGTCTAGGTAAGCTGCTACATCAGGTTAAATAACCTGTTGGGTGCAACAAAAATTAATACCGCCTAAAGTTGGGAGTGATAGATAATAAACGAAAGTTGAGATTATTTTCGACGGACGAGACAAAGTTCAGATTAATGGGAGCAATTTTTCCTATTATTATATCAAAATATCAATTTCATGGCTCTCTCTTGAGTTCTAAAGTCAAGTCATGTATTTGTGAGTGAAGTTAAGGCAAGTTGTTAGTAAAATCAAGTAACATGCTTCTTTGCTTTGACTTTTTGTGGGAAAAGAAAATGTTTTATTTATTTATTATTTAAACACTGATGGAGTATAAAACTAATTGTGTCTATTTTATAACAAAAACTTTTGCATGCCCCCGCTTTACAATAATTTTATTGTACATCGAATATTTTGCGAAAAGTGACCCTTTTTTCTTATAAAAGTGACCCTTTTTTTTTTTTTTTTTTTTTTACAAAACTGACCCATATTTTCATAAAAGTGATCATTTTTCACAAAAGTGACCCATTTTTCACAAAAGTAACCCTTTATTTTCACAAAAGTGACCCTTTTCATACATAAACGTTACCCAATCTATCCACAAACGTCCCTTTCATACATAAACGTTACCTTTTTTTACCCACAAAAGTTATCATTTTCACGCGTAAAAGTCAAAGCAACTCTTTAATGCACAAAAGTGACCAACCCCATAAAATCACATAAGCTACCCTACAAAAATTACTTGTAATTTTTTTTTTGAGTAAAACACTGAAAAATTAATGAATTTAATTAAAAATATACGAATAAAAAGATTAAAAAAAATCAGAAATAAATTCAAACAAGTTCAATTTCGCCGTTTATATTAGTAGAATTGTCTTCTTCTTCATAAGCTTAAAATTTACCATTTTAATCTAAAACTGAAGAAGTAAAAAAGAATACTCAAATTTGATGGAAGAAAAAGATTGCTTGAACCACCAAAGAAAATGGAAGAAAGAAGTACAATAGTTCATCAATGGAGAGGATCGAGAGAGGAAAAATCCAGGAGAATTGAAAGAATCTTTGAAAGTAGGGAAATGAGGTAAAAGAAGTATTGTGAGGGGATGAGAGAAAATGGAATATAGAGTAAAAAAAATGAGTTACTCACAAACCCACACTTGTTTTATACGGTCCGATTTACAATGAATTTATTGTAAACCGGCTTTTTTTTTTAAAAGTTTGTGATTTTATAATGTGTCCCGTAAAAAAAAAAACATTTTATAATATAGAAAAAAATTAACCGATCATTATTATTTATCATTAAAATAAGTAAAATAATATAGTACTTCGTAGTTACTCTGTATTTATCAAACGACAAGTCGATAATGGCTAGAGAGAGAATGAGCATTTTTTTTTTGCTCACTGATGTGAGTGCTCTAAGGGCTAGCTACTATTCTACGGAGTAGTATTCTTTACAGTGACACAGTAGAAAAAAGGGTATCCTAATATATATACTTCGTATTTTTTTTTTTCTTACATTTAAAAAACCAAAATAAGATAGGAAGACTCTTGATTCCTACACGTGCTTTGTACTCCGGACTCCGGAGCAAAGAAGTTACGGTTGAATACAATTCAAGTTTGCCGTCAAAGTCAATATGTCATCTATGGACTTTATTTTTAAATCTACTACTCTAGTATAATCATTTCCTGGAAATTATCTTTACAACAATAAAAATAAATAATAAATTGCTTCCTTTTTTTGTGTGAAGAAGGGAAGTCATGCTTCCACCAATGATTAAGGTGTGAACAGTTGAATGAACCTTTACTTATTCAAATTGATTTTGCAGAAAGGCTACAATCACTCAAAAGGTAACGCTAAGTTTGTAATTTTTTTTCTTTGTTATTAATTTATATAATTGTATCTTTATTCAATCTCCATTGTTACCTCTTCGCTGAATAGTTGAAGGCTTGAAGCTACCTACTTTAATTGTCACTAGCCTTGTTTGGTGAAAAGCTGGTAGCTTATAGATGAATTTGAATATGTTAACTGATTTGACTAACTTAGGGCCTGTTCTCATACGTTTATTTTCAATTTAGCTCAGCTTCTAATTTCCTTCTCTTATAAAATATTCATTTTAATTCAGTTCAGTTCAACTGAGTTCAGTCTATAAGAACAGGCCCTAGTTATATTAACTCATTTGATTAGCTTATTATATAAAAAAGTGTTTGATAAACAACTATTCCCTCCGTCCCATGATTAATGTACAAGGAATCTTCCCATTTCCTTAAAACCCGTGTTTTTAAGAGTTATTTGCCTGTATTACCCAATAACTTTTTGGGTATATAAAACTTCCTAGTATATAGACATAGGCATAGTTTAGTGTTAAGAATTATCTATATTATAGTTTAGTGTCAATATTCCCTCAATGTGATTTGGCTCCATATCACTGTTATTTTCATCCTTATGTCTCACCCTATGTTGCACGGATACCGACACGGACACGGACACGGACACGATACGGACACGGGAAAACGGCAATCCTGAAATAGGGGACACGGGTACGGCATATAACAAGGCATATAATATATCAAAAAAAACGAGAATTTGACAACCTATTCAATAAAACACTAAATAATTAGCCTCAAAACACACAATTTTGTTAAAACAAGTAAATAAACAAAGTGTACGAACGTAGTCTCATACATATCAAGAAACCATCAAACCAAATACATGTCTTAATAATAGTTTTACAAATCATAAATAAAATAAACAAAAGTACTAATAGTTTCATTCTTCACCATCACCAAGTACATCATCAAAAATCATATTCTCCATCTCGGGTTCATCAAGTGAGAGCTCGGCCATCTCTAGAATACCAACCTCTCCTAGGTTGTCATGCTCATCTCCACCCACATCCCACAACTTAGATCTCCCCTTAGTGTATTCTTCACTTCTCCTAGAAAGTAATCGAAGGTTGTTATGAATGTATACCAAGTCTTGAGCACGTTTAGGAGTAAGCTTATTTCTAGTGCAAGAATGAATAAACTTATAGGTGCTCCAATTCCTTTCACTACAAGAAGAGGAAGAAGGTTGACCTAATAGCTTATAAGCCAAACCTTGAAGCATAGGCACTTGGGAACCATAAGTTGCCCACCAATTTTTAGCATCCATCAAAGCCATATCATGCATGCAATCAATGTTGAGAAAGATCCCCTCTGATTTTTGTGAGAATATTGCAAATTCCGTGTTGATCTTGAATCTTTCATCGGGACTTTGGAAAAGCCTTCGAAAGCATTGTAATCTTTGTGTGGAAATTTCATTGTCGGCATTTGGAGCAACTCGTCCCGGGACCTCATTAAGCCATTCTTCCGTGTAAAATCTTTAACAACAAAATAAGAATAGCCATAAGAAATTAAATAAAAAACAAGGAAAAATAAATAAAGATGAATTAAATAAGTAAAACTTACCTTGGATTCAAAGAATGTGCTAATGAATGAAGTGGAGTACTACCCTTACTCCAACGACTACTAAGAATCCCTTTAACTACATTAAAGAAGGTAGATTGTTCATAATCTAGTTTACCCTCTTTCTTGTAGATGGCATCTTTCACCTTTTGAACCATAATGTCCCATCTTTCATAAACCAAATGCAAGGAAGATTTGTCGGTGTCACAAACCCTAATCATCTCATAGATTGGGCGTGTAAAATCAAGAATGTAATCAACTTTTTCCCACCATATTTCATCCAAAATCTTTTCCCTTACATGTGAGGCTTGCCCGCGTCGATCATCCTTGTATAAGGACCAATTCTCACTAATAACCATTGATTGAAGTGATGTTTTAAGGAGTTTCAACCTTTTAAGCATGCACACAATTGAAGCAAAACGAGTGTCGGCAATGCAAAGTAGTTTTAATGGCGAAAACTTATTGAACATTGAAAGCCTCATCGAATGATTCATTATGTAATTTTTAATGAACAAGGCATCTGCATGAACTTCCGTTATCCAATTACATTCATCATATACTTCAACATTATTCAACACATTCTTAGCTGCACAGATGCTTTTCATTGCAAGATTAAGTGTATGAACAACACATGGTGTCCAATATATATGAGGATACCTACCCTCAACCAATTCCCCTGCAGCCTTACAATTACTTGCATTATCTGTGATTATTTGAACAACATTTTGATCTCCAATTTCATCAATCACCTCACTTAGTAAGGTAGCAATGAAATCTTTGTCCTTAATCTCACCCGAGCAATCAATAGCTTTCATAAACATAGGACCCGTTTCAGAAGCAATCATAATGTTAATCAAAGGCCTTCTTTGTGGATCACTCCACCCATCACTAACAATGCTAACACCTTTTGTTTTCCATGTGGCTTTCATAGGTTGTAATAACCTATCCACATTTTCTGTCTCTTTACAAAGCAAAGTTGTTCTAAGTTTGTTGTATCCGGGAGGCTTATAACCAGAGAGATTAGAATTGGCAGCCATTGTATATGAACTAACATAGTAAGGGTTTCTAGCAAGATTAAAAGGCAACCCCCCTGTGTAAAACATTCTAGCAATTTCAGAATCCAAGTGGTCACGAGATTGCACATTAAAAGCATCAGAAATTGTATTTTTTGATTTCCTCTTCTTTACATTATCAAATGAACCTAGTCTCATTGATGTAGCTTCATTTGAAGTGTGAGAAGATATGGGTTCATTTGAAAAAGGTGGAACTTTTGGTAACAAAGATTTTTTATAATCCTCGGATTCACGATGAAGCGATCTTAGTTTAGCAAGGTCATCAATTTTCACTTTATTACAAGTTTGAATCCCTTTCCCTTGTTCACCTAGCAAATGAGCTTTCACTCTAGTGTATGAACCATTTTTAACTTCGCCGCAAAAGTTACATTTCCAATTATAATTTCCTCCACCACCCGATATTTTATCACCCTTAACAACAAACTTCCACAAAGGGTAGGGGTCCTTAGACTCAGATGAATTACTACTACCACTAACATTGCACGAAGCAGAGGCACTAGAACCACTAGAAGACATTCCTGACAATTTCAACAAGACAACAATACATTTTCAGCAAATCAAACATTTATAGTTTAGCTCAAACAACACAATCAAATTACACAATGCACATGTGTTATATGTATAAGTTTATAGTGTAAATGTTAGAAATATAGAGTACTGTTTCATTTATATATACAGTATCCACATGCATATTATTTCTCCAAAACAATGGGCACTAACATACACAACATATATATCAATGCACTAATGCAGCAGTTGAAGGGCAAGCATAAAGTTTAGACTAAATGATCACAAAAATCACAAAAATGCACAAAAGTTTAGACTAACTGAAAGTCTGAAAGCAAGTTTTTAAACCCAAAAATGGTCAAAACTCAAAAGGGGTAAACAAATAACAAAAACGAAAACCATAACACACTACATATCCCTTAATCTAGAACATAATATTGAAGTAATTGAACCACAAAACCATGATACAAATTACTGAAATTAGCCAATTTAAGCAAATCGTGAAGGAATGAAATAAAATTAAAAATTTAAAACGAGAATGAGAGATTGAGAGGAATACCTGAGAAAGTGAGAAGGCTGAGAGCACCGACGAGAGCGACGAGCGACGAGCCGACGAGTGACGGGCTGACGGCGAGTCGACAAAGGATTGAAGGAATAGAGTATTAAAGTGGCCAGGTTTCGTGATGACTGAGGAGTGAGGACTTGCGACGAGCGACGAGCCGACGACTGACGCTGTGACGGTGGACGGTGGGCGACGGTCAGGCGACTTCAGTCGGCGGCGATTTGGGTTTGAGAAGGTTGAGGTAGAATGAACTCGTGAAGAGGAAGATTGAAAGCAGTAGGGTTTGAGAAAAAAGAAACTGAGGGAGTTGGGCTGGAAAGCGAATAACAAAAGGGCGTGTCCAACAAAAAACGGGCCGTGTCATAGGGAGACACGGTCCGTGTCCATGACGTTTTTTTTTTAAAAAAAAGGGACACGGATTTTGAAGTGTCGGACACGTATCGCACCGTGTCCCACCCGTGTCGGTGTCGGACACGCGTGTCGACACGGACACCTCAGCTAGGTGGCGTGTCCGTGCTTCACAGGTCTCACCCTCTGTATTATCACTCAAAACTCTTCATATGTAGAATGTAACTTCTAATAATTGCACATTAAAGTACAATTTAATTTGTAAGAAATCAATCACATACTAAATGGTTGTTTCCTTGCATGCTATTTTTCTATATTCAATACCAATTAAGCAATCATACATAATAATATCTACAAGTTTTTAAACTTAAGGTAATTTCAATACACGAAGCATCGCCCGAGCCACAATCTAGTTAATTAATTGTTAAAACTATAGCTATATGGTTAGATTGTTATGGAAATAAATGTACTAATTTTTTTTTGGTATAATCTTGTACATTAATTTTTGTAATGAGATATTATAATACTCCATATTGAATAAATAAATTTTATTGAATAACTACTAGTTATTCTAAGAATTAAGATATTTAAATATACAAATTTTTGTTTTTGCAAAGCCTAAATTATTACTTTGAAGTAAAAGCCCATTAGATGAACTTTATTTTACAAAACAAGGAATATAAAAAGTAAAAAACCTTCAACCGTACCGGCAGTACCGGACACGCACACCCCAGCCATCTTCTTTCTCCTTTTACTAATTTAATTGAACTTTTTCCCAAATTGAGCTTTATTGGTAAATTATTTACCAAATTGGTCTCGTGGGAAAAGTATTTCCCAAACTAAGCTTCTGGGGTGAAACGCTGTCTCGGACAGCGTTTTACACCCAGTTTTTTTTTTTTAAAAAAAATTCAAGAAGTAAAACGCTGTCCGAGACAGCGTTTTACCTTGTTGACCTGTTGGTATGTATTTTGGCAAAATATACTAGTATATTTTGCCAAATTACACTGGAATATGTATATGGGCTTTAAAACGCTGCCTGAGGCAGCGTTTTATGTTGAAGCATAAAACGCAGCCTGAGGCAGCGTTTTATTTGAAGCATAAAACGCTGCCTGAGGCTGCGTTTTATGTTAAAGCATAAAACGCTGCCTCAGGCAGCGTTTTTCTGCTAGACTGCATAACCAGCAGCATCTGCTACACTACATCAGCAGCAGTTTCTGCAATCTGCTGCTGCCCCTACACATAACCCTCACCCAGCAGTATCAGCTCAGCCCCACCATGAACCACCACCCCCACCACCATCCACCACCTCCCCCACCACCACCGCCCGCCACTCTCGACCACCCCCATGCAATGCAAAACACCCTAAACAACGCAAGGACATTCCCACCACCCCCATCATTAACCACCACCCCCACCACCATCAACCACCTCCCCCACCACCACCGCCCGCCACTCTCAACCACCCATAAACTACCATAAAACACCCTAAACAACGCAAGAGCATTCCCACCACCAGCCCCAACCTTTCCACCACCATCGACCACCACCGACAACCATCAAACACTGGAAACAACCCCAACAGCATGATAACCATTGTGAAACAGCACTTTAAGTGCAGGAGACCAAATATATGCTGCTTGATACATATAACGGATATAAAAGATATAGTTTCACTAACAAAAGTCAAATTCGGACAAATAAGGGAAATAAACTTCAAATTGTACAGAGAGACATTTAGAAAACATTTCTTGTATTAATAATGTAAGCGTTATATACAACATTGTTAAATATCTGAGTACCACAAAAGGATCAACTAACTAATACTATCCGGACTCATGTATTGGAGTTAACTGATCTCCATCCTGTGTGTCCTCCGTCCGTCTACGAACACACCTCGGACGCCTCGTGTAATGCTGAATGGTGGTGAATGGGTCTCGGGACGATGGAGGAGTCAGCTGGCGAGACGATGAGTCACCCTGGCTGTGGCCGGGAGCGGTGTTATGGATGAAGTAATCCTCTGCCTGTGTAGAGCCCAAAGTATGACCTCCACCACTACTCTGTCCAAAGTCGAACTGTGAATGGAAGGAGTTGGGGTCATGATCGTCCCTGGGGTGGACGAGATGGCCATGGCCATATCTCTGCAAGCTATGTATGCCCATATCTCGCACCCGCTCAACCTGGGCTCTGGTGGGTACGGCTGCTAAGGCATCTGAAAGTGCATCAACCATCGCACCCATATCCCCCGCCTGCAGTAATCATCCATGAATTAGTAATATGATATAGAATTTCAAATAATTTTGGAAAACAAGAAACTGAAAAAACTCACAAGTCCGCAGATAACATCATAAGCTGGATGGTAGTGCGTGGACGGTGGGGTGTAGGTAGGGTTGATGAAAAGGCGTGTAATCTGCCTGTACCATACCATGTAAGGATCACGCGGATCCATAACACCCTGAAACAGGTGACCGTCAACGATGGACTCCAACCGCTGGTCCCAAAGCTCAATGAATTGATGATGCTCCAGTGCCCAGTTTGTCTCCAACTTTCCACGACGGTCAATGCCGTGGAGGCGAATACTAGTGTCACAGGGCATGGAGATAGGCTGCTGAAGTCCGAACTGTCGCAACACTCGGTCCGGTAGGTGGCTCTCCACGACCTCAAAACAGATCATGGGGGTCCTGGCAAGCCACTTAGCACGATGCTCCAGCAAGTGTTCCGGCATGGCCTCTACCAACACAGCAGAATAGGGATCCCATGTCATCTGCAACAAGGGTATATCGTGAAAAGGTTAGGGCAATGCCAATAAACAGTATAAAGAGTAAACAAACGATTACAAATGTAGTGCAAGATTCCACCTGTTCATCCGAGAGTCGATCGAGGGCGTCACGGTAGTAGAGAAGACCTCTCGCTGTATGCGCATGTGTTAGTCAGGGAACCACCCACCTGTGGCAACAAATTATTTAAGAAGTTGTACTAGCTAATTATAACAAAATTTGAGTACACAAGTATAATGTTACGAACCTACAACCGTATGCCTGATCGGGTTCAGGGAGCGGGGGAGCATCGTATGCTGCGTACTGATCGTCCTGGTCCAGCTGCCCTGGACGGTGTACAACAGGCCTACCTGGTCTCCCTACATGGATGTGCTCCCAAGCCCATAGCTGTTTTAAAAATCAAATAAAAGGTAAAGCATAAATAACGTCAAGTCATTATCAGACTAGGCTTAAGGATAATGATGAGGTTTACCTGTAGCACAACCAAAGGACCTCCAATCAGCTGTGCTCCACGCTGTGATGCTCTACACAGATGGCGATACAAGACCGCCAAACAAGCACTACCCCAACTGTATCCACGGATCTCATCCCAGTCGTGGTCTAACAGCTGCAGGTAAATAATCTGAAGATGGCTTCCGCTCTTGTTTCCAAAGAGCACGCCCGAGATGAGCAGGAACAAGTAAGCTCGGGCGTATCTCTGCACTGTGGCGTCGTCAGCGTCCTGAGGTAAATGTCCAAAAGTGTCGCGTAGCCAACCGGTCCTCAGCGCGCTGCCCCTGATCTCGTTTGGCTCTGGCTGAACCCCTAAAACCCGACCTACTAAACCTGCGGGGTCAAGTACCACACCCCCTGTCACCGCATTCCCATGGATGGGAAGGCGTGTGAGTATCGCGACGTCCCGCAGCGTGACTATCGCCTCCCCCACAGGAAGATGGAAGGAGTGTGTC